TGGAAACATTACTCCTGAAAATAATGGTATCTCCTATTATTTTATCAAAGCTTATTGGAACTTTATTAAAGTTGATTTTTGGAATGTTATCAAACATTTTCTTTGTTATGGTGAGTTGGATAAAGTTTGGAAAGATACTTTAATTGTTCTCATTCCTAAGGTGATTAACCCGATGTCTCCCTCTAATTATAGACCTATTAGTTTATGTAATTCTTCTTACAAAGTAGCAGCTAAGGTGATTTTGAATATATTATTATTTGTTATCCCTAAACTAATCTCTGAGGAGCAAGAGGCATTTATTAATGGAAGATCTCTATCAGATCATGTGTTGGCTGCTCAAGAAATGTTCCATAAATTCAGGTATTCTAGATCTTCTAAAAGGCTAGTCTCATTCAAAATTGACATGGAGCAAGCATATGACACTATGTGCTAGTTTAAACTTAGGAAGGTTTTGAAATATTTTGGCTTTCCTTCTAAGTTCTCCAATCTCATATTGGAGTGTGTTGATGATTCAAGGTTTTCATTGACTATTAATGACAACTTTTTAGAATGGAATAAAGCCAAGAGTGGATTCCATAAAGGTTGTCCCTTGTCGCCTCTCCTTTTTATTCTTTGTTCTCAACTACTATCTAATTCTTTTGTTCAAAGCTCAATTGGGATTAGCATTAGTTCATTTGGTCCAAAGATTTCACATTTATTATATGCCAGTGATGTTATTATATTTTTTGAAGCCAATAAGAAGACAGTGAAGGAGATTAAGGGGATTCTTAATAACTTTTGTGGTTGGACTGATCAAAGTATCAATGTTAACAAATTTACCATTCTTTTTGGTAAATTTGTTAGTAAAAGAAAAAAGAAAGATATTACTCGTATTATGGGTTTTAAATCAGTAATAATTTAATTACCTTGGTGTAAAAATTGTTTTGAAGAGATTAGTGGTGCCGATTTTCATTTCATCATTGAGAAAGCATTAAGGATGCTAACATTTGGGGCAACAAGTTCATTTCTTTGGCTAGAAAATTCACTTTGGTCTAATCCGTTATGATTTCTTATCCCACATTTCATAGCAAATATTCCCTTTTTCTAAAAGGAGTGCTCGAGGAGCTTGATAAGTTGTGTAGGAGCTTCATATAGAATAAGTCGAATGGAAGATTGGGTTTACATTATGTCAGCTGGATTGATTTGTGCAAGCCTTTGAAATTGGGAGGGCGTGGATTGAAAGTTCGTTAGGGATGTTAAGCCCTATGAACTTAGTCCCAAGCTAACCAAGAGGGGGGGGGGGTGAATTGGTATTTTTAAAAAATTTCTTTTTATAAAGAACAAATATCACATAAACTAAAATCACACCACGAGAAAAATAAACAATGCAAAAATTAAAGTGCGGAAGCAAGAAAATAATAACACAGAGATTTATAGTGGTTCGGTCAACTTGACCTACGTCCACTCCTTGGAGGCAACCTCCAAGTATTGCACTACAAACGTGACTCTCCTTTAGCCCCATGGCTAGGCGGATAAGCCCTCACAAAGAACCTCTTTTTGCCACCCTGTCAAGGCAGAGAACCTATCTCCTTTTGCTTCCTCCTGAAGCTGGCAGAGAACCACAACCAAATGCTGACTCCTTACCTCTACCGACCCTTCCATGGATGAGAAACTCTAAACGAAGAAGAAGCAGAGCGATCCTTGAATACGCAACGCTTTGTGATTCCTCACAAGCTCCCCTCACAATATTCTCTCTCTCTCCCTCTCTCTCTTTCTCTCCTCAAGGCCTTCTCAGGTCAAGGCACAACACAAAGGTTGTTCAAAATGTTGAACAAGAGGTCTTAAATAGAAGAGCTTCAAAGGAGCTCATTAATTGCAAGTTGCCGACAATATCGTCCAGGCCGATATGGACATCGGCCTGGCCGATCAGTACAAATCTCAGAAAATCGGCCAGAGCATCGCCCTGAATGCAAACTGGACGATTTAAAATTAGCTTGATCGTCCAGGCCGATCTCACGATCTTCCCGACCGATCAGTTCAAATCAGAGGAAAATCGTCCAGAGCATAACTCTGAATTCGAGCTGGCCGATATTTATTATCCTGAAGTAACTAAGGTTTTTGAATAGATGTCCTGGCCGATCCTGTGATTGTCAGGACGATATGATCATATCAATCATCCTTAATTACCCCCTTGATTTCCTGATAAATTAAGACATAATTTGTGAATATCGTCCAGGCCGATCAATGATCGTCCTAGCCGATTATTTAAAAATACAGTATACTTTAATTATCTATGGCGGTAACTTCTTTCTGTTTTAAGCTTATCGTCCTGGCCGATACACGTATCTTCCATGACGATCCATTAATGACTGCTTCCTTAATTATGAATCCTTATTTAGACTTTCTATTTTAAGCCTGATCGTCCAGGACGATGTAAATATCATCCTGGCCGATATGAGTAAAAACAGAATTTCTAAGTCTCTCGTGTGTGGTGTGTAGGGTTACTTAGCATCAGTCTCTTTGACCATTACAAATAGACTCAAGAAGAGAAAAAACAAAGTACAGACTGACTCAACCCTAGACCTACGCAATCTTGAACTGGCTTTGTTTGTCCGTCCGATCTTCGATTCCTGAAAAGTTAGAAGTAACAAGCAGTCCAAGAGAATCAATAGTGTTTGTCAATCATCAAAACATAAGTCATGAAAATAGATTTGCAACATGGATTGCTTTCTAGTGTATCTAAAGTTGCTGCATTAAGATTAAGATTGGCTTGGAGATTTGTACAAGATAAGGAATCACTACTGCACAAATTTCTTGCTCCAAAGTATGGAACTTCGGCAGAGGCTGGAAATTCCAAGAAAGGGTGCTTATCTTCATGGAAAATAATAATTGACGGTGGGAGGTGGCTTAATCCTATTTTTAGGTGGTTCATTGAAAATGGTGCTTCTATTGATGTTTATAAAGATAATTGGATTATGGACAAATGCATCAACAAATGGCCAACGTATGTGGTGCCTCAAGGTGATGATGTAATTTTGGCGGACAAATTTATTGCATATGGAATCTTGAATGAGGATGAGCTACTAAAATTCTTTGGTAAGGATATGGTGGAATTGATTTTACAAGTAAAGATCAAATCAGATCTTGATGAAGACAGGATGGAGCTTATTTATCAAAAGTCAGGTAAAACTATTTCAGGTTTGGCATTTGAAGCTTTGTTGCAAGATCGGTATGAACCCCAGTTTTGGAAATGAATCAAAAATGCTAAATTAATCTCTCGGGTGGAGGTATTCTGGTGGAGGTTATTTAAAAATGCAATTCCTACTTGCCTTTTTTTTATTCCACAAGAGATTGCAAGAAAATGAAACATATCCTTGGTTATGTGACGGGATAGAAGATATTAAATATGTTGCTACCAAATGTGTCAAGTTGAAAGAAGTATTTCAGCATTTAAACAAATGGGGATTTGGAATCTCATTGTTTGTTAAATTTGAAGATTGATGTAAGTGGTTGGAATCCCTTGCTTTGCATAATAGTATGCTTGTTAATCCTTATTGCAATGTTGTGTTCCTCTCATGGAAAGCTAGAAATAAATTCATTCATGAAGGAATGGAAGAGAGTTCGACTGTGATTGCTACCAATGCTGTTAGCTACTCTTTGTTTTCTAAGATGTTTTGTAATTTTAGCTCGGGCCACTGGGTTGCTAATCAGTTGATCAGACTGTCTAATCTTTGACATCCTCCTCCACCTGATTGGTTAAAAGGTTAATGTTGATACATAACTAGGTTCTTCGTATAGAGTCTAAAATGGAGGATTTTTTGAGATTGCGAAGGAAGATTATTGTTAACAATTGGAAAGTCATGTGTTCATTGGGATGTTTCACAATTGGAGCTTTTAGCTATCCAATCTTTGAAGGATGTAATTAAAGATTGGATGTTCAAGTGCAAAGGAATTATTATTGAAGGCGGCAATTCTAACATTATAAGATTTCTTCAAGGTGATCTAAATAATGGTATCCAGGAGGTGGAAGATCTAGATTTTATCAAGGATTTTAATTATATCATTTTTAATTGTATAGATAGGAGTAGTAATAAGTTAGCTGATCTATGTGCTAACTTTGCTATTTTTAGTAGTTTTATTTGGGAAGACTTTAGTTTGAATAAGGTTCCTCCTTTTTTTAACTTGTTAAAGGAGGAATCTACTTTGTAGTTTGTTTGTTTTCTTAGCTATTAATGCAATTATTTGCTCTTTTCAAAAAAAAAAAAAAAAAAAAAAAAAAAAAAAAAAAAAAAAAAGTTCTTTTGCATTTACTTTGCAGACAACTAAACAACCCAAAATATTCTAAATATAATGCATTTACCATTTTACTTTATTCAGAATACACAACATTCCCTTTTCAAAAAATCAAATATCCCCTAAGTGTATTATGATCTAATAGAAAATTTTAAATATATTTTTCAAAAAAAATAATGTAATAGATATATTTCTTAATTTTTAAATATTATAATGATACATACCATCAAAATTTTCTATCTATATATTTGAAAGAATTTTTTTTTTTTACGAAAATTTACATACGTACCACTTTATACCATCTTATTTACATATCTAATACTCAAAATATTAATATTACATACATATCACTCTATATTATTTGAATATTAAATATGCCATATTTCCTTTTTACCACTCATATATTTCATTTCTACCACTCATATTTGATATGAAAATAAACTATGAGTGATGTATAAACTATGAGTGATGTATATGTAATATTAAAATTTTAAATGTTAAACATATAAATAGAATAATATACGGTATGTATGTAATTTTTTTTTAGGCACTCAACAAACCAAATGAGAACTCGTACCCACAACTCACCCCAGGGTCACCAATCAAAGTGCATCCTTAGTTTTCATCCCTGAGTCATAACGACAAATGGGTGGTGGGTGTGAGCGACCCTCAATGTTCGTTTTCACTTACAGCCGTCTTCCAACTGGTGGCTCCCACGGCTTCGTTAACATGGTAAATGCTGTCGTTGGGGGTGAAGCAGGACCCTGGCTTTTCTTTTTTGCGCGCTTGGGGAATCGGGGTCTCGAGGTCTTAGGTGCTGTGAGAAGTGTTGGATTGAAGAAGGAGAGAGTTTCTCTCTTCCATTAGGTGCTTTTCGTCAAATGAGGTCGAGATCTGGGAAGCATAAGAAGGTAGGAAACTTGTTCTTAAATTGAGATCGGTTGGAAACTTTCTGCCATAGTGTAGGAGCCGATCTTTCAGTTATTTTTGGCTCCTCTCGTCTTGTTTTATATTGATTTTGGAATACTGCAGACGAATTGGGCTGAACTCCTTTGTTTCCGTTACACCTGCCTGCAGCTATGGCCAAAGATCGTGCTCCGGAAATGGCTCAACATCAGCTCCAAAGACTCAGACTTTAGCGCCGACGACGGGGAAAGTACCGAGAGCGACTTCGAATTTGAGGGTCAGTGATGAAGAGTGGAAACGATGACATCTTATACTATGCATTATCGTGAGCTGAATACTAGTTCAGTTTCTTTTTTCTTTTGTCACTTCTGGTATTTCTTTGATTCGTATTCCTTTTTGGGTTTGTTTCTCTGTTATTATGCCAATTTCAGTCCGTGCTTCTGCCCATGGGTGCAGATCGGTTTTCCTTGGCGAAACAGATGATTTTGATTAGTTAATTTGATATGATATGCTGACTGTTTTTTTTTCCATTTATATTTGGTTTTTGATTTTTTTATTTTACTTTTTCACTTTATTTACTTTGCTTGCTGTTACTTCTCTTTTATTTCTCTGAGGCTCACCAACATTGGTTTTCATTTCTAGCTTTAATTTTGTTTTTCTCCTATACTTCACTTTTCGAACCAATACCTGCACTTTAAATCGGAGGAACTTCTATTTCTTTTGTTAGATTCTGCAATTCCCTTATGTTTTTTTTTTTTTTTTTTTTTAAATTTGCTTGATCGTTTCCTACGCTCATCATTTGGATATTTTTTAACCCTTCAACCACTGATCTTTATGGGTTTTTTTGGTAGTTTGACAACTTTACCCATAAAAAAAACTGAACTTTGATGTGATGGTTTCTTCAGAGATGTGTCAATGGGAGCGCCAATTACGTGACGAGGAGAGGAGATTAGGTGGGCTTGGGGCTGAATCAAATGGTGATTTCTCACACTGACTTGACTGTTCCCATTAGTGGGATTACGTCATTTATTTTATTGAAAATTTCACATGTATGGTTGAGCCAGTAAAAAAAACTAAACATCTATAAAGATGGAAGAAGGAGCACTACTTTTGCAGGTATCCTGCTTCTCGTTTTCACCATAGAATCTGTTGAGGGAAGTAGCGGGGAAATCTATTTTTACTTCAAAATAGACAAGAAGATGAATGATTGCTTTAAATTTATTTTTTAAAGCTAATATCTCAATAGGAACTTCCTGAAGCCTGTAATGATGCAGCAGACAGCTTCAGGGAACCCTCAAAAACTTCACTAGGGGAAAACTATGATGAGAATCCCTTGCATCTCTCTTATTAACACATTAATGATAGAATCCACTGTTGATTTTTAATTTGTTCAAATGGAGCAGCAAATGATGTTTCAGCATTATATTTGGCATGAAACTGGGAATCATTGACGTTTGTGAACGAGCAGCTATGAAAAACCATTTTAGAATCTTGCATCATTAGAAGGCAAATTTGGAGCAATGTTTAGCTTGCTTGTAGAGTAATTTGAAGTCACAGTTTTAATCATAGAAGCAAACTATCTGAAATGCAAGGATAAGGCTGCGTCCACCAACTTCTCCTTAGATCCTACCTTTGATAGGATTAACCCTTTTTTATCATGTACACACCACGAGTGAAGATTATTGTGGCAAAGGAATGAAACTGCCAATGCTTGAGAGGAATTTAACGTCTTGGTGCCAACTTTTTTATGTCGACTCTGCATGCTTTTGTTTGTAGGAAGTCAAATTGATGGAATTCCATACTGGAGGCAAAGAAGAAAATCCGAGACTCTTCGTGCACAATATATAAATACCAAGGAACTCAGGCATGCTTGTTCATCTTCATTTTTTCTGGCTGTTTAGTTGCTAATCTAGTCTGTTTTTATTTCTTTCTCAGAAACGACTTTATTTACTCAGGTTGTGTGTGGGGACCTGGAATGTTGGTGGTAAACCTCCCTGTGATGACCTTGAGATCAAGGACTGGCTGGATATGGAGGATCCAGCTGATATATATGTGCTAGGGTAATTTTTCTGTGATGGAAGTATAGAATTTTTGGAAATTCTACAAGAACAGAATTTTATCATGCAAGCTTTTGATTTCATGTTAGATCTTCAAATTACTAAAATTTAAAGTTCCAAACAATTGTGTTTGTTGTTCATCATGAACATCAACATCAAGCCTTAATCTCACCACGTGGGGTCGGTTACATGAATCCTTTTTCTCCATTGTGTTCTTTTAAGACTCAAATTATCATTTAAATCTAATAAAATAATGTCATTTATAATATTTTCTAATTAAGTCTTTTTTGGTCTACATATGCATTTTTTAACATAAGTCAAATCTAATACATTTACTCTCCTAACTTTATCAAAAGGCCAACATTTTATGTGGCCAAACCATCTTATGACTCTTTCTAAACTTATCTGCCATCAGAGCTACTCCAACTTTTTCACGTATATATTAGGTATTTGTTGTTCATGCTAATATTAATACCAGCGCTAGATCATTTGAAAGGTTATATTGTTGGATTGTCTTCACAAATGAGAAGATAAAGACGAGGCCAAAAGAGATTTTACAATTATGGTATTATGAAAAAGTTTAAAACACCACCATAGAATGTCATTTTTATTTGTATTCTGGGGCATAAATATATGCATACTAGACTTATGGCCATGTCTTGCATCAATCCCGAATGTTCCTATCTTACCTGAACATTATGGTCTTAGTTTATTAATCTTAAACGTTATCGGTGTTTGTTATCATTTTCAACCCATATTTTAATGAGGAAAGATGCCCAATGAATGAGAATATAATTGATGACTGCATCCTTGTGCTTGTGGAGTTTGCGGTTCAAAATTGGATGCGTGACAGATTCAGAGTATGGTTGAAAGAAGGCATGTCAATGGTAATGGAATAATCATGAAATTTTCATATGTTTTCTTTTTTTATTTAGCATTTTGCATTTGTTCTATTTTGAAATTACTGTTACAAAGATGTTAATGTCAAAATCCGAAACCAATTTTAGCAGAAACTTTTTAATGTCTGACAATTATCATCCATCCTAGTAGCTCCTGAAAATTCAGAAATTTTGTAGTTGCTCGTGTAAGCATTTTTTTTTTTATTGGCAAGTCATTTCTGAATTCATAAAATTAATCCCTTATTCAAAATTTAACCTTTGAGTGAGTGTATTTAAGTGACTAGTCTCTGTTTTGTTGAGATCTATGCAACGAGAAGTTATAATGCCAATTTGTTACATGCCTTTTTTTATATAGTTTGCAGGAGATTGTTCCATTGAATGCTGGCAACATTTTTGGTGCTGAGGACAACAGGCCTGTTCCAAGATGGGAATGTCTTATTCGCCGGACATTAAATAAGATTCAACCAGCTAAACAGAAGTATAAATGTTACAGTGATCCCCCTTCACCATCAAAATTCCAACCAACAGATGACACTCTTGGCTTTGAAGATGCATTGCTACTAGTGAGTGATAGTGAGACTGATGAGGATATCCATCCACTGGAAGAGGATTCACTTGATTTTGAAGCAAGTTCTTACAGTTGCACAGCTAGTGAAGCTAAGTTAAGTGGAAATGCAAGTTCTAGCTTTGCAAATGTTGATTCAGTTAGATCACAAGATTCAGGCCATCATCCCCTGTTCTCAGAAAGGATGTTTAAAGAATCACATTGTTCCAGTTTTAAGAGCCGTCGAGTAGCATCTCAAGCTTCAATCATCGAACAAAAAAGGCTCACCAAAACCCTTAGCAGCTCTCAGAGAATTGGTTTAGTATGGCCAGAGAAGCCACTTGATAAATTAGCTCAGCTTTCCTTAGATACTTCAAATACATTTAGGTCATATAAAATTTCCAACTATCACAAGTCAGTGAACCAGGATTGCAAGGATTTTACTGTAACATGCTTGCTAACTGACTTAAATATGGATGATATTGTGAAGAAAAAGAGAAGGTCACCTTTTGTGAGAATCATAAGCAAGCAAATGGTTGGGATTTATTTTTCAATATGGGTCCGTCAAAGTCTCCGTAAGCATATTCAGAACTTGAAAGTTTCCAGTGTTGGTGTAGGTGTCATGGGCTACATTGGCAATAAGGTCAGCCTTTTAGAATTCTACAGCTGTCCATCATGTTTCAACTGTTCTTTTATTTCTATATCTAATTTCCTTGAAATGTGATCGTTTTTAAGAATAATCTTTATTTAGGAATATGTCATGAGCAACTTTCTTAGTCATGAAATAAACACCAAAGTAGAATTTTTTTCTTTAAGATTCATGGAAGTCATCTATTAGCAACACTTTTTCCTTGCCATGAAAAATATCTAGGTGCGCAAGGTCAATTAGTTTATAGTTTAACCTCTAAGCTGGACAAGCAATTTGCTATATGCTAACTGCTATTATATAAGACGACAAAGTAATTTATTATATGGGCAGTTATTAGTTCATAAGTCGAGAATGATATGCAAAGGACGTCAAGTTTCCAGGGGGTTTCATCAGTTATATAGACTTTGTGATATTAAAGTGTAGGAGGATGCTGAGGAAGAATACAGAAATGGATGATAGAAGAGAGATTCTTGGTATCTATATGTCTCAAACCTTATTTTTTCTTCATTGGACCACTTATAATTTGGTGTTCCATCCCTTTTAAAACATCTAGTTAATACCCTTTCTCCTAAATTCAAATTTATTTGTGGGCAACACTAATACTTTATTGGCAGGACTGTGGAGGCACAGAGAACAAGAAGAAAATATAGAAAGAGAAAAGCTTTAGTGTCTAGATAAAGAAGTTTTAGGATTTGTTTAGCTTGTTAAAAGTACAAGAACTATGTACAAACGACCTGATGTTTAAAGATATGGTTTGGTCTCTATAGGAGAAGCTATTTTAAAGCTATAAAAGTAAGAAAATATATAGTAAGGCTTTAATAGTTTCTTGATGTAGAAGTACATGAAGTGTGTTGCCAAACTACATCATGATATTTTACTCTAGTCATCATTATATGATGTCGGCTTGATTGAAGAAAGTTGATGACTTGTTGAATGAATGTTGGCAAGTAGCTTTTAAACTTTTGTGAGAAGGCCTAGTTAAATCTTGAATTGAGTATGCTCTTACAAACAATGTGGTCTTTCTGACTTCTCAGTTGTCTTGGTGAGTTATCATGATTTTGGCGAGTTTACTATGATCCTGTTGATTTCATTGTTATTAATTACCGAATTTCCTTGAATTGGATCGACTTTTCTTGAATCACATCCTTGAGATATTTGGATGTACACTTTACAGATGCAGACATATTCCGGAAATGTTGCATCCAATCGTTTCATGATTTGAACGCAAGTTGACTACCAAATTCTTATTAAGGTGAATCTTATGATTATTTTTTCCTTAAAGCAACTTTTGTATAGAAAAACATATAGAATGGTGATCTCATAATTAATGGACATGAATTTTGTTGAAATGCCTTATCAAAGATGTTTGCAAGTTGACCTCTCTCTTGCATTCAGTTTTTTTACTTAATTTTTTTCCACTCACTTATATTGTGATTATAAATAGCTGTGCATTTCCATCTTCCATTATAATGGTGTATGCCTGTACGTTGCCTATACAAATAATTAATATGTACAAGACACATTTTTCTCAAGGGATTTGGTCAAGAAGGTCATATTGCTCTAGAGGGTAAGTGGACAATGTAAACCTCGTTAAAGGCTTGCTTTTGCTGGCTCGCTGTTGTGGCTTGTTGATTCTTAGCGTCTCTCCAGAACGATCTCTGCATGAAGACTCATATGAGCAGGCTAAACTAAGGTATGATAGTCCTTCGTAAGCCTCATTGGAGGACTCGTCCAGACCACTCTAAGATCTTAAGGTCACTCATCTCGAGATGGATCGCTTGCCCATGCCAGTCATCTGCAATCAAGGCCACCCGCATACCTGTTTTTGCTTTGGAAAGATGCAAAGCAATTGAAATTATAATCTCTTTGGGAAAATTTGAAATTGTATAGACTTAAATTTGTTTTAGTTTTGTAATCGAACTCGTCATTATGAATGATATATCATCTTGGAAGGTGACAATATCATTTTCTAATAGGTTCATATTACAAAACCATGTCTCATCCCAATAATCAAATTTGGGGATGGATTGCATATGATTCCAAAGAATCAACATGACATCCAATTATTCATTTGGTTATAGTAGTTAAGATGCTCTATCATTGGTTATCGTAGTTAGATCATTGTAGTGAACTACATATGACCCCACAGGGTCAAAATGACGTTCACATATATATATTTAACTATAATAATTACTATATATGCATCATAAATTTCATACTCAAGCGTATTGATAGTAAGTAATTTATTTCTCTAAAAAGGAAAATATCACCCACTATCAATCGTTTGAATATGATGATAATGATCGTCTTTGATTTTCTTAATTTTTTAAAAGTGAATTAATTAATTTTTAAAATGATCTAGGGTCTTTGAATCTCCTACGAAGGCAAGCCTTTGTTGTTAATTACATCGTAGGAATTTGGGCTTCTTACGAACACGCTCGTTTACAATAATGGTAGAAGTTTTGTTTTTGAGATTTCAAGGTGACATCAAAGGAATGCTATTGGAATTTCAAATGGGATTGAATCAAATTTTGAACACTTATTTTTGGAGGCCAATGGAGGAATAGTATGAGGTGTCGTTGGATTCTGAAACACTTCATAAACCCCCCTATCTATTACGTGTTTGGCTTTATATTTTTGATTTAGAGAAAATTTTAATTTGAGTTGGCAATATATTAAAATGTTGGGATTATATTCCTGAAATTGGGGACTTATGATTTTGGGTCCACCCCGGATCTAAATTTAAGTTGGGCACTAAACCATAGTGGCTCGATCCTAATTAAAAGATGCAAATTTGGACTTATCCCGACCTGGATTGGGGAGCCAACTAGCCACCTAACGCTTCAAAATCATGAATACAAAATTTATAAAAGATGGATAAAACTATTGTTTAAGGTTTGAGAAATTTGGTCCGACATCTAAAGTGTCATAATTGACCCATTTACTTATGTAGAATGATTTTGCTTGAATGCAATTAAAATTTTATGAATTTAATTAGTTTTTAATGCAATGCATGCTGATTGACCTTATATGCATAAATGATATGAAACAATTTAAAATTTTGACTTAGAAAATAGATTTTTTTAGAGATTGCATAACAATCCTTAGATGGAGTTGCACTATAATAGACCAGGTGGTTTGCCACAAACCATAAGTAGAGAGGTGCCTAAGAAGAAAGAAAAGATTCAATATGTATGCATGAGACCCTCGGCGAGTCTGAGCTTAATTCTTAGGTCCGTTTATCTTTCTATGTTGGCCTAAATATTTTATTTAGTTATGAGTAAAAAATTTGGGTCCTTGAAGAGCCTATTCACATCCAGCTAAAATAAAATCAGCATGTGAGAAAAAATATCTAGGAAGATTTACGAAACTCCTAATGCACAAAAGTAAACACAACAATAAAATCACATAGTCAAAATGTATAATGTAAATGTAAAAGTCCATGTGGTAAATGCCACTTAATTACAACATGGGATTTTCAAAATTAAAGTAGTCGGGTACCACTGATAATAACCTTGATTCTAGTCTTAGGGAATGACACAAGTAATTTTAAGATGGGATATTTTTTAAGTCTTTATTTCTTCGTCTTGCACCCTTTTGCGAGCTCTTTGAATTTGTTTGGTCCAAGTATCCAAATGGAAAGAACTCCCCAAAAGGGTATTTCTTTTCTCTTTGGATTTTCAAATCATTCTAATTTGAATCTCTAAATAAAAGGAATTCTCTCATAAGGGATGTTTCCTTCATCTTTGGACTTCAAATTCAATAGATAATATCTTATTTAAAATTAACTTTCACAACTCAAATTGAATTCAAATTACATGTAGGAAATAAAAGAGGACTCTAAAACAACCTACATGATTATCTTAAGCAGTTTATATATCAAATCGTTAACAATCTCAAGAAGTTATATATAATTTCATTTGCTCACATTTGAGCATAAACATACTTGGTCATGTTCTTATGATTTTTAGGGGGCTTATTAATTTTTAGCACCTACAGAAAATTCATTAGTTAGAATTTAATTAGCCTCTTTTTAATAGCCCTACATGAGTATGACCACCTACAGAAACTTTGTTAGTATTCAGACCATTCCTACCCAATGAGAAATCTAGCTCCTATCAAATTAATTTACAAATAAAACAATAAAATTATTACATCACAAGGCATCACAAAACACATTAATCATAATAACTAGCATGTAGTAAAATTCACAGAAAACCTCAGCACACAAGTAGCAGAAAAAGAAAGAACATCGGCCTAGCCTAAAACTAAAAGCAGCTGTCCTAACAAACCATCTAAAGTGTGTGCATTAGGCTATGTGGCTTGGATGTGTCCTATGTTAGATAGTTGTTGAAGTTTTCTAGTGGTTTTTTTATTTGTTGTGGGTCAAATGAGATTTAATTCAAGTTAAAGTATTAGTGCCTTGATATTCATTTTATGATGAATTTTAATTATTAAGTGATTACTATTTTTACTTATAAAAAAGTCGTGAGGTTTATTGCACCCTCCTTAAAGTTAAGTTAATAGCCTCATAAGCCCGAGTTACCCAGTAGTAACTTGTATTGTTTAATTGATTTAGTTAGTTCAAATTAAGGGTTGAAAGTTTTTAATTAATTGGTTGCTTATTTGATTCATTAGATTAATAAATTTTTTTTATTTGTCATCAACATGTTCGTGGCATTGTCAAAAACGAGCTCAAGGAACTCGGTCTCTTTAGGAGTTAGAACATGTAGCCCTGCAGCTCGAGGTTATCCATCCTAAAAATTTTGTATTATGTAATTGTATTAATGATTAAATTTTGGTTAGCTAGTTAATGATCAGTTTGTTTTATAGTTTTGCACTCCATTGAATTTGATAATGGCGTTATCACAACAGCCTCGAGTAACTAGACCTCCTTAGGACACGTAGCTTCGCAGCTTATGGTAGTCCAATCAAAAAACTTCATCAATGGAGTGTTTGTTATGTATTTGACGTTGATTATCTTATTTTATTGA